TTCTGAAAATGGTATAGAAAAGAGAGAAAAAATCGAGATAGGAAAAAAAAGGAAGTGATTTTTATGGCTGGTTAAGTTTTATTAGACAAAGACGAAATTGTTTTTTTGAGAATGAGCTTTCAAAAACGAGTGAAAATTGTGATATTAAAGCATCATCGTGTGTATCCGTTTACAGACACTTAAACAAACAAATACACACGTATAAGTACACACACACACGCACGTATATGCAATAATAGACAAACACACACACACACGCACACACACTCGCAAACCCATAAACTCTCTCTCTCTCTCTCTCTCTCTCTCTCTCTCTCTCTCTCTCTCTCTCTCTCTCTCTCTCTCTCTCTCTCTCTCTCTCTCTCTCTCTCTCTCTCTCTCTCTCTCTCTCTCTTTCTCTTTCTCTCTCTCTTTCTCTTTCTCTCTCTCTCTCTCTCTCTCTCTCTCTCTCTCTCTCTCTCTCTCTCTCTCTCTCTCTCTCTCTCTCTCTCACTCTCTCTCTCACTCTCTCTCTCTCTCTCTCCCCCCTCTCTCTCTCTCTCTCTCTCTCTCTCTCCTCTCTCTCTCTCTCTCTCCTCTCTTTTTCTCCCTCTCTGTCCTCTCTCTCCTCCCCCCCTCACTCTCTCCCTCTCTCTCTCTCTCTCTCTCTCTCTCTCCTCTCTCTCTCTCTCTCTCTCTCTCTCTCTCTCTCTCTCTCTCTCTCTCTCTCTCTCTCTCTCTCTCTCTCTCTCTCTCCTCTCTCTCTCTCTCCTCTCTTTTTCTCCCTCTCTGTCCTCTCTCTCCTCCCCCCCTCACTCTCTCTCTCTCTTTCTCTCTCTCTTTCTCTGTCTCTCCAAAGATGAAACTCCCAGTAGTTCAAGACGAACGAAAATTCACAACTGGGTTACGCAAACATTCATTGGCAAATATCTCCTTCTCCTTTTGTATTCTAACGAAGAAAAAAAAGCGGGCATGAATTATCCAAAAAAAAAGAGAGAAAAAAAACGAAAATCAAAGAACTGAAAAAAAGAAAAGCAGGAACAATACAAGAGAGAGAAATAATAATTAAAAAAAAAGAACAGTCTCGTTCCCTGCTCGTGACGTCATGACTGAAACCTAGTAACCGTGAATCCACGAACGCGGCGGATCTCGCGGGAATCGACGACTATTTTAAGCCTTTGATTAATATTTCTTTCTTTTTTTTTTGAAAAGGATATTTTGGTAATATTGTTTACGTGTTTTTTTTTCTCTCTTTTTTTATTCGTTACAGATATACGATGTCGCATTTTGGTCGGTTGTAAAGTTTGTCTTTTAAAGTTGAAGGAAATGTATTTTGTAAAGGCTGGATTGTGAGGACGCATGTCTCGCCTCTTTTGTTTTGGGTGTTTTTGTTTCGCGCCTTTTTTGCTTTTATGAAAAGTCGATGATGATAATAATAATAATCGTAATAATAATAATAATAATAATAATAATAATAATGATAATAATAATGATGATAATAATGATAATAATGAAGATGATAATAATAATATTGATGATGATATTGATAATGATAATTATAAAAATAATAATGATAATAATAATAATAATAATAATAATAATAATAATAATAATAATAATAATAATAATAACAATAAGAATATGGATTATTACTATTACTACTACTACTACTACTATTATTATTATTATTATTATTATTATTATTATTGTGATTATAGTAATAATGATTATGATGATGATGATAATAAAAATGATGACGATAACGATAATGATAATGATAATAATAATAATAATAACATTAATAATAATAACAGTAATAATAATAATAGTAATAATGATAGCATTGAGTATAACAATGATAATGCCAGTAATGACGATAACGGTTGTAGTACTTATGCCAATAAAACAGAAATGATAACAACACGAACAGCAACAATAATAACACCACCACCACCACCACCAACAATAACAACAGCAACAACAACAACAACAACACCAACAATAACAACACCAACAACAACACCACCACTACCACCACCAACAATAACAACAACAACAACAACACGAACAACAACAACAACATCAACAACAACACCACCAACAACACCTGCAACAACCACAACAACAAAAACAACAACAACCATCACCATAACCAATACCAGACCCCGTTTTCTATCCCCCGCTATCGATTCTCCATTTCGAGGCCAGACTAAACTATATTACCAGAAACGGCCCCCGGAATGGAAAGCCGGCGTGATGCAACCGGCACGAATGCATGTCAGGCGAGCATCAGCAACAACGCTGCAATAAGGGCTGACGTTCACGCTGACATTCCCTATGGTATTAGGGTGTCATTCGGCCGTGGCATAAATGACAAAATTTAGCGATCAGCTGACACCCCCCGCCCCCCTCCTGTTCATAGAGTTCCCGCTACGTTATAATTAAACGTTACGGATAAGGGGGGGAGGGGGGGAGGGGAGAGAGAGGGGGAGAGGGAGGAGGAGGAGGAGAGGAGGGGGAG